TGGGATGTTAAGACAGGATAATAAAAAGCTAAATTAGATGGTCATTCTAGTTCTGTAATGTCAGTCAATTTCTCTCCTGATGGTACTACATAGCATCTGGTAGTGGAGATAACTCTATCTTTTTATGGGATGTTAAGACAGGATAATAAAAAGCCAAATTAGATGGTCATTCAAATACAGTTTATTCAATTTGTTACTCTCCTGATGGTACTACATTAGCATCTGGTAGTTCAGATAACTCTATTCGTTTATGGGATGTTAAGACAGGATAATAAAAAGCCAAATTTGATGGTCATTCTAGTTATGTAATGTCAGTCAATTTCTCTCCTGATGGTACTACATTAGCATCTGGTAGTGGAGATAAGTCTATCCGTTTATGGGATGTTAAGACAGGATAATAAAAAGCCAAATTAAATGGTCACTCTAGTTATGTAATGTCAGTCAATTTCTCTCCTGATGGTGCTACATTAGCATCTGGTAGTGATGATAACTCTATTCGTTTATGGGATGTAAAATATGGACAACAAATCCTATCATCAGATAATCGTTATAAAGATATTTTAGCTTAATTTTAACCTCCAATATTTAAAAATATTCTTACAGAAAGTACTATTTATATTTCACTATTACTTAGTTACTTCAATTGTTACGATCCTTTAAATATCACAATAGCTAATTTTTTAATCTTAAGGAGCTCTAATTTTGAAAGGAGAATTTAGTAATCAATCAGGCATCGACTTGAAGACTTTATTTAAACAAAGAGGAAGTTTCATTTTAGATAACCAAATTGAATTATACAAACAATGAAAATTGATTAATATGAATAATCATTTAATATAATATTCTATTTCAGAATCAACTCTCTCTATCAAATGATATAAAAACAAAGACTTAGAATTAATGAAGAAATAGACACTTTATGTTGCAAGCTAAATTCCAATTAACCTGAATCAAAAAATTTAATCAAGACCTTTTTAAATCAGAGACAAGAAATATTGGTCAATATTGAAAAGGTTAATTGTATTTATAGTCTTTTTTTCGAAATTGAATTTTTGGCTCCTTTGGGAAATTTCAAATTCACAAATACGGGGTGGTACCACCTGCCCACATTAGTACGGCTGGGTTTCCTAGGCAGTACAGCCCAATACTAGTCTCTATCCGTTTATGGGATGTTAAGACAGGATTATAAAAGCCAAATTAGAATGGTCATTATAGTTACAGTCAATTTCTCTCCTGATGGTACTTTATTAGCATCTGGTAGAGATGATAAATCGATCCGTTGATGGGATGTTAGGACAGGAGAAGAAAAAACCAAGATAGAAGGTCATTCAAATGGAATTCTATCAGTCAATTTCTCCTCATGGTAATACATTAGCATCTTGTAGTTATGATAAGTCTATTCGTTTTTGGAATGTTAAGACAATTCAGGAGGTTCTAACTTAGGATACTTTTTACAAAGATCTTCTTTCTTAGATTAAAATGCACCTTTAGAGTCCATCCATTTAATATAATAGTATTTAGTTTAATTATTCTTAGCAAATTTCTCAAAATCCCATTTTGGAAACTTAAGGAACTTTAATATTGAAAGGAGAAATAGTTGATTACAAAAGCAGGACTTAAGATCATTATTTTTGAATCGAAAAGCAGTTTGATTATAGAGAATGAACTACAATAGAAGCACAATTGACAACTATTAATAGGAGATTAAAATATGAAATATAAATTCAATGTTATTAATTGTTTTATTTTTGTTAAACATTCAGATTAAATGAAATAATTCTTTTTTTTTGTAAAATATTTAAGTAAACACACAATAGTAGAATTGATGTCAAAATTCAATAATCGCAAAAAAAAATTGATTTCAATATCCTCTGAATGTTTAAATATACTGATATAAGCATTGCATCTTATAAAAATGATAGTTATAAAAAGGAATAGTAAATCTTATATAAAGAAAGTAGTTTAAATGTAAGATCAAATTTAAGAAACAATTTTGTAATTTAAACATTTTCAAGTAAGCGTTACTAATAATATAGTTAAAAAATTTGCATCTCCTCATTAACCACTCTTGTGAGTATTATTTAACAGATCGTACATATATATAAATCGAAGTATATATTTAGATTTTAAGAAATAATATTGAAATGAAAAACCTTATTGAATTTTCCGTACAAATGATTATATAAGATAATAGATTCAATTTAAATATATTTGAATTATCAATTATTGATAATGAAAATTCAATTAAATCCAAAAGAAAGTAATATCAAAATTTGACAATTAAGGAATTGCTACTAAAATCTAAAGAGTTGAAACCTGAAGATGTATTATCAGATTCATGCAAACCTAAATACTAAGAATGGGATGAATAGTTTCAGGAGAAATAAAACTATTGGAGAGATGTGAGAAAGGAAGATTCCATAAATTTGTATAACACACTACAGAAATCAGATCAGAAAAAGAGGGCGGATTTTTAAACTTAATGGTAAAAGGTGGTCAGTACATTACAGACTATAAGGTGATCTTGCATGAATATATTGAAAAAACGAAAAGGATATCTGGAGAAATTTTGGAGAACGATTAGAGACCTTGATAACATTAAAGAAGAATTGACTTGATTTTTAAAGATACTGGTTCTTATAAGTGAGTGGATGTAGAAAAATTGATAAATATGGAAGGTGAATATGTTGAATCGTTTAATAGAGCTATATCATTTTACTGTATCCACCTAAGGGTTTGGGTTTGGGTT